CCTGCCCACTACTCATCGGATGAGGGGGACGAACACACGCGCTCTATGGCCGTGTTAGACGAGTGGCAAGCCGCGGACTCTGATTCGCACAATGACGCTTGGGACTCGGACTCCGGCTCCCATTCTGGCTTCTTACGAGGCACCTTCCTGGACGACATCCAGTTGCCTGACGACCTTGCGCCCGCTCAAGAAGGGGATACCATCCTAGACCCCACGGGGCAACGCCTCTTTGACCCTCGCAATATCCGCCATCCACGCTCTGGAGACTGGACCCCCCCCGACCACCTCTCCAGGTTTATGCACCGCTGGCTACGCAAACCACTTGATAAAACGGTGCGCAACCGTCTACGCTCTGAATGCCCGCGCCCCTCGCTCCCCGACCACGTAACACAGACCCCGGAGTTTGATCAGGTGATGAACACCTTTATGTCCCGAGGTGGCCGCGACCCTCGGCGGGGCGTGGAGAAAGGATTCCACGGGGTCCAGGATAAACTGCTGGACTCAATCGGCCCACTCTCCCGCATATTATACCTGGCGGATGATGCGTTCACTAGGGCCGACCAATTTGACTCTAGCATGGTCAAAGAGTGGGCACATGACATTAGGGAATGGGCACAACGGTGCTTCTGTTTTGTTGGTAATACCAACGTAGCCCTCTCCTCTGAGAGGCGCAAGGCAGCCTTACTCCGTATTGACGGAAAACTGGTGGATTTGGGCACCAAAGAATTGGGACCGTTGGCACAGGGCAAGTTGTTCGGAGAACCTTTCTTAAAAGAACTGAACAAGCATGTTAATATCTTTACGTCCCTCAATAAGGCTCAGACGTCTATGAAACGAGTCTTCAGAGGCTACCCCAGCCGGGGTGTTTTTGGACGGGCTGGCCGCTACAGGGGCCGAGCAGCCAGCCGATTCTGGCCTTCTGGCCCCCGGTCACACAGACCACAGCCATTCTACCCGGAAGTGGGTTCCAGGCAACCATTCTCCTATACCCGAGGAGCAGACCGAGGCAGAGGACCTCGTAACCGTGGCAGAGCACGCTTCCCCACAGGTAAGCAACCTAGTGTCTCTAGTTTCATTCACCCCTTACACTGCAGGTCGTATTGCTCTGTCTTTTCAGAACTGGACGACCATCTCCACGGACGCATGGATCCTCCAGACGGTTCGGGGCTACATCATCGACTTCGTAGAACCCCCTTACCAGCTCGCACACCCGCATCCCTTTCAATGCTCCGAGGAGGACCGCCGCCTAATCGACGGCGAACTACGGGAGCTCAAGGCGAAAGGAGCGATAGAACCAGCTCACGACGGAATGGGTTTCTTCAGCAACATTTTTCTAGTAAAAAAGAAATCAGGAGAATTCCGTCCGGTTATAAACTTGAAGGGACTCAACGCTTTCGTAACGTACAGGCACTTCAAAATGGAAGGCATTCACCTGCTGAGAGATCTACTCCAAGACAGGGACTGGTTTACGAGACTGGACCTCAAAGACGCTTACCTGTCGGTCCCCGTCCATGGGTCTTGCCGCCAATTTCTCAGATTCCTTTGGCAAGACCAACCCTGGCAGTTCACATGTCTCCCCTTCGGCCTCAGCTCAGCACCGTGGTGCTTCACCAAGCTCCTCAAGCCGGTAGTGTCACAACTACGAACTCAAGGAATTCGTTGCATTATCTACCTGGACGACCTGCTACTATTTTCCTCAGACAGGTACAGTCTAACACAACACACACGTTATACCATTCAGCTCCTGACGTCCTTAGGCTTCGTGGTGAACTACCAAAAATCGGAGCTGCTCCCAGCCCAGACGATACATTTCCTGGGCTTCGAGATAGATTCCAGGACCAGCACCTTACGGCTCCCGATCTCAAAGATCACAGCCATCAAAAAGGAACTACGCAGAGTCATCCGCTGCAACACCATTCCACTCCGCAACCTGGCTCGAATCATGGGACTACTGTCCGCATCTATACAGGCAATCTTCCCGGGCCCGCTACACTACAGGGCGATGCAACGCCTGAAGGCCTCCTTCCTCCGTCAGAACCCTTCCTACGACCAAAACATTCCGGTAACGGAAGAAGTCAGGGAGGAACTCGGATGGTGGTTGGACAGCATGGAAGCTTGGAACGGCCGAGCCATCTTCGGGAATGCACCCGACGTTGTCCTGGAATCGGACGCCAGCCTGTGGGGCTGGGGCGCCACAAGCGAGGGCAGATCGACAGGAGGCACTTGGACTTCCCAAGAATCCAACCTCCACATAAACTGCCTAGAGCTCCTAGCGGGGTCGTTTGCGATCCGCAGCCTAGCAAGAGACCGGACAGACTGCTGCATCCTCCTCCGGATGGACAACATCTCAGCGGTCCGCTACATCAACCGTCTGGGGGGAGCCCGATCCAGACTCCTCTCAGAGATCACGAAGGAAATTTTCGACTTTTGTCTACCCCGGAAAATCTCCCTCATGGCAGAATACCTCCCGGGAGACACGAACCTGACAGCGGACTGGTTTTCACGCCACTGGCGGGACAGCAGCGACTGGAAACTGGACCCAGCGATCTTCCAACACCTTTTGATCAGAAGGGGTCCCCTCCACCTGGACCTCTTTGCGTCACGCAACAACAGGCAGACAGACGAGTACTTCAGCTGGCTCCCAGACCCAGAGAGCAAGGCAGTAGATGCGTTTCTCCAACCTTGGCCACGGTTGGGGGCGTACGCCTTTCCCCCATTCGCCATGATAGCCAGGACGATGCAATACCTGAAGACCCAACGCGGATCCCTGCTCCTCATCTCACCCCTATGGCAGGGTCAACCATGGTTTCCGGATCTTCTAGCGTCATCCTACAGAGATCCCCTCCTCATACCATCCTACCCGACGCTCCTTACGGACCCGAGAGGGAATCAACACCCGCTCATCCTGGAAGACCGTCTCACGCTGGTGGCTTGGACGCTTTCAGGGGAGCCTGGCAAACCGAAGAGTTATCGCAAACATCTCGAGATCTCCTATGGGACTCATGGGCACCAGGAACCAGACGATGTTACCTATCGGCATGGAACTCCTGGTCTACTTGGTGCAGTGAACGGAATTTTGATCCCTTTACGGCACCTATAACAGCCATCATGAACTTTCTCTCACATCTCTTCTCCAAGGGCCGATCTTACCGATCCCTCAACGTAGTACGCTCCGCAATTTCGGCGGCCCACGTTCCGGTCCAGGGGATCCCCGTCGGAAAAGACCCATTGGTGTGCCGCCTCCTCAGGGGCATCAGACTTCAGAGGCCTCCGAGACCTAAATATTCCCGACTATGGGACGTTGAAAACGTCCTACAGTTCCTGAGGGACTGGCCAGACAACGACAGACTTTCACTCCGACAACTATCAGCCAAACTGACGCTCCTACTTTGTTTGGTCTCGTTCCGCAGAGTTTCGGACGTACGAGCATTCGACATCGATGCCTTTTCGGTCTCCCCGGAGGGAGTTACCTTTCAAGTTTCACGCCGTACGAAATCCGACTCCACATCGGTCTTCTACCCCTTTTTTCCTACAGAACCGCTTCTCTGCGTGGTATCTACCCTACATCGATACGTAGAGGTCACAACCCGCTTGCGGGTCTCCCCTACGGGCCAACTCTTGGTGTCCTACGTTAGGCCACACGTTCCCGTCTCTACCACCACCCTGGCCAGATGGGTAAGATGGATCCTGTCCCTGGCAGGCGTAGAGGAAACCTTCGGAGCCCACTCCGTCCGCGGGGCGGCAGCTTCTTCGGCTTTCACCGCAGGCGCATCCCTGGCAGACATCCTACGAGCTGCAGATTGGTCACGAGAATCGACCTTTCGGACCTTCTACTTCCGACCGAATGCGGGGGCAGCCACGTCTCTCCTGCTTCAGCGTTAAAAATGCAAAATATGAAGCCTCCTGTCATGTGGTAAAATTGAAGATTATGCTAGCGCTAGTGTACTTATAATCTTAATTTTAGTAATGACAGGAGGCGAGTATTTTCCCACCCTCCACACCCTTGGGGGATAAGGATCCAAGTAAGTATACTTACTCCATGTATTCCTTACTTCTTCTATCTTCCTACTCATCTTGTATGACTCAGGCTTGTACTTTGTTTAGTTAGATCATTGTTATCGTTTACTGTCATATTTATACTAATTTTCATCTAGTTTTACATCAGTGCAGTGGAAATTGTGTTGGGTTTATTACATTACTGCAAACAGTTGCCAGATCGGTACCTAACCTTCTCCACGTTCTTTTTCAGCATAACTTTGGGACATTACATCTCATACTCAGGATGGACACGTTTGGACCGTCCTTCAGCGATTAGGACTTCGCATTCGGAAAGTCACCCGTTGGTGCATGTTTCAAGACTTTATGTTTCAAGACTTTATCTGTTTTTTCTATATTTGTCTTTGATGTCGCTTTCGAAAGAGGGGGAGGAGCCTCATCACTGTGAATACCATACCTCTTACTGCATTTGATTGGTTAATGTTTTCACTTTTCTTTACTGCTATATGGAGTTAGTAAAGAGAGTTATATGCAAAATACTCGCCTCCTGTCATTACTAAAATTAAGATTATAAGTACACTAGCGCTAGCATAATCTTCAATTTTTTTTTTGTATCAGCTACTGCGCAGACATACGGGTATCCTTAACGTATGTTTTGTCTGCGTGTGCTACAAATATATGATTATCTAAGAATTTGTGACCTTAAACTGAAGCTCATATGGACACTGCTGCATGGGCAGTGTATGAAAGACTAGAAAAATATATTAAGCAGGCAGCATTATAGCATGAACATATTACTGATGCTTTTCAGTCCTCAAGGATCATCAAGCATAAGACAGGAGCATAACGTAGATAAGACATGATGCTGCATAATGTACGGCTTTATATGGTGAATAAACGGGAAAAATAAAAAATAAAATAAATAAATAAAAAAAAATAAAAAAAATAAAACATTTACTGCTGCCTGTCATTAACAGTGTGTATCAACTCAGTCCACAGGCATTGAGGGACCACGGATACGACCCCTCCGAGCGGGGGGAACCGACTGCAGATGCATCCGCGGCTGATCCCAGGGGCACCAGGCCTCCGCGGCGTCCCCTCAGGCCGCGCCAAGCCTCCATCCGGGAGATCCGCAGCACAGCGGGCACTCGGGGACCCACCAGTCCACAGGACCCACCACCCAAAGTCCGTGTGCCAGTCAGTAATCCCCTGCACCCCCACTGCACCACTGGGGCCCCAGATGGTCAGGGTGAAGGCCGTCCTGTGTCTCACCCTTCTCCGGCCACTCGGGGCAGGCGCCAGCCTCCCCACAGCCACCGGTCCGCCGGGGGCCGCCGCGTTCCACTCCACGAGGGCTCACAGCGTCGGGGACAGTTGCCTGCAGGTCCTCCTCAAACCCACAGGTGACGGCACTTCGGTCTCCGCAGGGCACAGTCCAAGGGTCGCGGCATCCGGCCAGTGGGCCCCAAGGACACCGCAGCGGCATCCCGCCTGGCTCCCCCACCCACGTGCATCGCCTCCGGGGCCCCACTTCATCCGCGGGTGTTGTATCCACAGGACAGCTTCTGATGGCAAGGCAGGGCTGTTGTAGGCCGTTAAGTTCAGGGTGTGCGTTGATCCTGTAGCGTAGGCAACAATCAGCCCTGAATTTTGAGTGTAGATAGCTGGCGGGCCGCAGTTTGGCAGCCAGTGCCTGTGCAGGAGGTCAGCGAGCACCCCGGGTGGTTGCGTCCACCCCAGGGCGTGCAGCCTCCATGTAGCCGGGATTACCCCCTCCGGCCGAGGGGGGCGGGGGGGGGCGGGGCCGCAGCTCTCACCCGTGTAAATCTCCCCCAGTGTCCGCATAGCTGGTGTGCTTGTACCTCGGGCCTTGCAATCAGGCGTCTGTTCTCTATCTGCAGCTGTCCTCATGCAGGCTTATGCAGGTGTGTAGGCCGGGTTCATCAGTCTCGGTGTTCCCCGTGAATTGTTGGCCGTAGTCTGGTATCATATGGGTGCTTGGGTAGTACCCCATTGTAATGCAGCATGTAATCCGGCCCTGGGGCAAGTTGTGAGCAAGTTTTATGCCGTTGTTTAGGGCTTAAGCTCGGAGCCACAGTGTTCTGCTGCCATGCTGCTTGGCGGCCCGGCCCCGCCCCCTGTTTACAGGATTTTGCAGAGTTGCAGAAGTTGAAGATAAGAGTTTCAGGAGGATTCCAGCGACAGGACACAGAGAGTCTCCATAGAGGATCAGGAAGTTTTCAGGATACAGGATGTTTTCAGGCAGAACACTGACTTCAGAAGTTCCATGTCAGAATGCTGACTTCAATGTAAAGGCCATGAGAAGAGTTGGGGGTGGCCTTTCATAGCCAACTTGGAAAATCATATGAGGCAGGTGAGAGCAACTGAGGATTGACTAGTTGTTAGGGAGGCCACTAGAGGCAAGAAACAGGTATTGCAGCAATAAAATAAAACAATATCTTGGTTGTCAGGATAGAATCCTGACAAATACATTTCAATAAAATACATATGTGGTTATCCACCACACAATTATTTCTTTTAATTTCCTTCCATAGATCTATATGGTTATACTCTACTCTTCCTTCAATATTGTCTATTTTCTAACAAGACATAATACCACACAGATGGCGGTATATCAATTTCCTCCCCTAGATTATATTGTAGCATAGTTCCTTTTTAGTGTAAAAATCAATAATTCTAAGAGATACTGTCAGGGATCTTACCTGGAGTGGAAGTCCGGCACGCATAGTTAAAGCACCCTTTGCAATTCGACACAGGCCGAGGGGACTCAAGACAGAAATCCCCAAGGCTGTGACACAGTGCACTGAGGCTGAAATAACCAGTGCTTCCTGGAACGCAGTACAGACAAGGGATATCCAGAAGAGTAGTCAGGAACAGAATCAGAAGTCAGGACAGGAGGCAATCAGTGAAAACGGTAGACGAGCAGAGGATCAAAATCAGGAGTCAGATGCATAACAGTGAAACCGAACACAATCTGACAACGAGAACCGCCTTGCTGGGTTTAAATAGGGAGTCTCAGCCAATCATCAGGGAACCGGGAACAGGTGTACAAATGTCCAGAACTAGAGATTCACACAGCATGAACCCAGGAACCACATGAAAAGAACTAGAGATACATAGAGTCAAGGGCAAGGTGCCTGACTGGGATGCAGGAGACCCAGGTTCAGACCCAAATGCCCATAATTAGCACATAGCACGCCGGTGACCCTGTCATCACCCTCCCTTCAAAGACATTGTTAGGCGAGAAAAGGAAAGCGATATACCAACCAGAAGGCTACTTCTTGGATTTGGTGGTACTAGCAGGAGCTTGTAGGGCCTTTTCAAATACTTGACTAGAGTCCCATTAGAGGCATAGGTACAGCCATAAGGGGGGTCTTCCTAGACAGGACTTGTAGTGGTTGTGGTGCTCGCCTTCTTAGAAGCAGAATCTTTAGTAGAAATAGAAATCTCAGGTTTTTTAGTAACAGATTCCTGCACTACCTCAGGAGCAACGACTGTAGAAGGCTGAGGATTGGTCAGAGTGGTCAAGCAAGGACAGGCAACATGTTGGCAGACAGGTCTCATAGGATATGCCAGAGTAGTACCCAGACGGAGAACCTGAGGCCTAGATGGTCGAATGGGACAAAATGATATTAAATGTCCTTTCTACCCACAATAATAACACAGTCCATGCACCCTCCTTCTTGCCCTTTCTTGAGATGACTGACGGAATGTAACCAGTCCAATCTCCATGGGTTCCTCGGCCTTCCTGTCAGATGTATATGATGTTTCAGGCGCTTCGGGAAACTTGGGAGTGGTAGGGTTAGCTGTAACACCAGTCCAGAGTGGAAGGAGTAGTGTAGTCTATCTCCAGTCCGGGTTGCAATATATGTGAAGCAACAGGAGGTGATCTATGTACATATGACTTTTGTGTCCTGTTGCATTGTAAACTCAGAGATAAAGGACTCCTAGGAATCCAGGACTGGGCTTTTGGCGAGTAACAGCTGGTGGGCCCAAATCTTAAGGTGCCCAGACAACAAAGTAATCGCTGTCCTCACTTCAATGACGTCCGTGGCATAGGTAAGTGATCTCAGGGAGAACAGGACCTCGCAATTGACTTTGAAGGTATCATACTTAGACCGGATCCCAGAAAATTTCTCGGGTAGAGCAACCAGTGGTTCAAAGAGTCCAGAGTCATAGGTTACTCTCCCTTTAAGGGAAGCCAGCTCCTGCTGTAAGCCCTGCAAAGCCTGGGTGAGCTGGGGAAACTTGCTGGGTCAAGGCTGCAACGGTAATATTCAACTCTGCGGACTTCATGTGGTCAGATCGTACTGTCAGGGATCTTACCTGGAGTGGGAGTCCGGCACGCAGAGGGGTCTAAGGCACTGGGGCTGAAATAACCAGTGCTTCCTGGAACAGTACAGACAAGGGATATCCAGAAGAGTAGTCAGGAACAGAATCAGAAGTCAGGACAGGCGCAATTAGGCGAAAAAACAGTAGACGAGCAGAGGATCAAAACCAGGAGTCAGATGAATAACAGTGAAACCGAACAGGAACAGGAACACGATCTGACAATGAGAACCAGCCTTGCTGGGTTTAAAAAGGGAGTTTCAGCCAATCATCAGGGAACCAGGAACATGTGTACAAATGTCCAGAACTAGAGATTCAGACAGCAGGAACCACACGAAAAGAACTAGAGATGCGTGGAGTCAAGGGCAAGGTGCCTGACTGGGATGCAGGAGACCCAGGTTCAGACCCAAATACCCATCATTAGTGCATAGCACGCTGGTGACGCTGACAGATACTGAATTTAAACTAGATTTTTACATGCATGGAAGCATTATTCTTTAAAAGATTTCTGAAACACAATGACTGAGGCATACTAGAAACAATATTTTACCAATGGTTTAGCCTGCTAGTTAGCTAATAAAGTTGTTGTGATCCCTGCACCATCTGTTTAGCCTACTAGTTAGCTAATAAAGTTATTGTGATCTTTTTGGCAACAGAATTGGAACACGTCATCACAGGAGCATCAATGGACATCAAGTAACACATAATGTGTACTCAGACCCAGATGTTGGATTGAACAAGCACGCGTGTGCACTAAGACGCACACTGTGTGACGTGTGAGAGGCGCGACCCGTGGAGATAGGCAGGCATGCCAATTTGAGGCAATAAATAGCCGTTTCTATTTTTAATCCACCAGGGCCTTCGAAGGGACGAATCAAGTCCGAAGTGCACAGCCCAGGCACCCTATTGATAGCCGAGATTCAAGGCAATCAACCAGAGACTGACTTTGACAGCCATGCATCTGCAATCACCCGGATACACGCAGGAACGCTCATCTAAACACACTTGGACAAGCCACTATACCAAGATTCAGCAACTTTACTACACTCAGGACTTTCTACAGCATCAGTAGTGGTGAGATCTATCCAAGAGTATCCACTTATGGATGCATGTTTTTGTAATTTTTAGTGTGTACACACTGGAACTGTATGTACATTTTTTCACATTTTTTTTCACATTTTTCCTTGTATTTTTTTTTTTTTGCTTTTCAATTCAGACAACAATTGTTGGTTGCAGACAAGGCTCTTATCCACATAGTGTCTGTTTATACTACAACACTGGTTATTGAGTCAGCATATAAATTAGGGATATTTTATTCCATTTTGTTAAGGCATATCACCTAAGGTGTTACATTGTTGTGTCCATATAGGATATAACTTTATGTAACAATCAGTTTTTTGCCATATTTGTTTATTCTCACTGAGTTTAAGAGATATCTGACTTATAATAGGCAGAATAATAAATATATATTTTTGCTTTATATCTACAACTGAGTGCGGTATCATATGTATTCATTACATATATATATATATTTTTTATTAAGCTGGTTAGAATGATGAATAAATAGAAATGTTCCTAATGAGTAAATAATCAGTGAGTAAGGGTATTCACCCTGATGAAATGTGCTGTGCACGTTTTACCAAGAAGAGTCTTACATATTTTAGCTCTTCCATTTCATGATTATACTAGGACTGTAGTATGGAAACAGTTAAACATTATAGAAATTATTTTACACTGAATTACATAAGGTGTAACAAAATGAAAACACATTTTTCTTTTGAGTTATACTTTGGCTTGGAAATTCTAGGACTGAGAAATATAGATAATTTCTTTATGTTCTTCATTCCCATTGTTATTTAATATTGCTTTTATTAGACTTTGGAAAGAATCACATTACAAATGGCACATTATAAAGTTAAATAACGTATAGGGCCACTGTGTAACACAATGTTATATAAAGCCAACTTGCAGTTATACCTTTAATATTTGTAAACATTTCCCGATAGAGAACTGTAGAAATTTGGCAATATCTGCTAATATCAGTTCTTAGGCTGGTAATTACCATAGCATTGCACCACCCACTATGAAGTATCAGTCATATTACATTACAGAATTATATGATGTACAAATAAGTGA